CTACAGTTACAGATCTTCCTTTATGTATGAAATACTGAATGTTTCTATAGAAATAATTTGTAAAAATAGGCAAATTAAACTGGTATGTTCATCCAGTTACTGCGCCTTTGCAAAATTATAAACAATATAATAATTAATAAAAAATGAAAGCATCACAACACAATGCCGTGAATAAATCAACTAACATCAAACAGGTCACGATTTTCTACAACTCTTATACATTCCCGGATGTTACCGTGAATTTACTTAATTGTTAGAATTTTATTGAAATCCCGTGTGACAGTTAAACAACAATCACATATCTACTTATTCGTTTCCAAACTCTTCTACAATGTTTATAACTTTACATACAGTAGAAATTATGAAATAAACAACAAACATCGTTCGTAAAATGTCTTACGGTTTAAAAGTTTCTCACAGAATAGAATTCACACATATTTAGTAACGTTTACGTAATTTGAAGATAAAAACCTAATTAACTGAGGATCTGTATCTTAAAAGCGATAATGTACAATGCCATTATTTTTGTAATGTTTTGTAAATTGTCATTACTATAAAAAATAAGATTTCTTTTATTAGAAAATAGTAATTATTAGAAGAAGAAATCTGGAAAGAATACTTACTAAATAGATTAGGTACCTACTAATAAAAAAGAATTATAAGAATATGTACTTACCCAGGTAGGTCGATTAGGTTAGCCATGTGTTACTGTGTTAGATCTAATTAACATGGGCGCTGCTATACGAGGGAAAGAGGGCGTCGGAATTGTAATTTGTTTCACCTTGCCTTTCAACTATAGGCTGCGACGTTTTGACCTTGCCTATAAGATTTGCACCCTCTGGAAATTTTTTAAAATGCGCCCATGGTAACTAACTTATACAGGGTGACCCATTATCTGTAATTGCTCAATATTTCAGTTTGAGTTATAGACAATCAATCAAGTTTAAAATAAAAGGTATATGGATTTGAAAATATATATTTTATAATTATTTTTGGATACAGTACATTCGGGTATTTGTGACATAGATTTCTTTTTTTTTTTCAGAAAAAACCTATAAATTTGTTTAAAGTAATAAAACGGCCTAAATTTCTGCGTCTAACCAATCATCTTACTTACCTATTCAATGCAAATAACGCTTTCATTGGAAAATATGTAGAAGCTGAGCTGGTGCGGGGAAAGGGACGACTATGGACCAGTGAGTAGTCTTTTGGAAGCAAGAGCAGATCTTGTTGTTGTTCGGTCATAACACCATGTCTTGCTTTTCCGGTACCTCCATATGCACCCATAAATTCTTCAAAGACAAGGTCAGGTGTTTCTTGGAGCTGGTTTACTTTTTCTTCCTCGTCATGGTTACCCTCAAATGAAGCCAACCGGTTTTGGTGAACTACCTTCGGTTTACCGTTCGGGATCTTACTTATACGGTAGATGACATCATTGATTCTTTTCATGATGAGATACGGGCCTTCCCAAGATGTTTAAAGCTTCAGAGAATAACCTTTCTGTCTTTTTTGGTTATGGAGCCAGAATTTGTCGCCTTCTTTGAAACATCCCTCCGTAGCTTGCGTATCGTACCGTTTTTTCATCTTGTCGCTGGCGATTTGGAGATGCGAGCGAACTAATTCATGCATGTCGTCTATTTTTCGTCGTATTTGGATTACATAATTTTCACCGGCTATGCCTTTCCCAGGTCAGCATCCAAACTCGAGGTTACACAGTAGTCTCATCTCACGCCCAAACAAGACCTTTGCTGGTGTTTGGCCTGTTGATTCATTGACAGCGGATCTATAAGCCATTGCAAAGAGCGAAAGATACTGATTCCAATCTCTCTGTTGGTTTGAAACCACTTTTGATAGATATTTATCAATGGTTTTATTCATTCCATCGGATTGTGGGTGCAATGCTGTGGTTCTGGTTTTCTTCATGTCTGTCACAGATTCTACGGAAAAGTTGACTTTCAAAATGTCTGCCTTGGTCACTGTGGATCTCCAAGGGCATTCCAAATCAACAGATAAACTCTTTTATCAATACATCAATACAACAGTTGTGGCCTCCTGATTTGGAATGGCATAGTTTCACCCACTTTGTAAAATAATCCATAACCACCAAAATGTATTTATTATCATCTTTGGTCACGGGAAATAGTCCAGCAATATCTAAGGCGATCCTCTCAAATGAGCTACCAACATTGTATTGCTTCATGGGAGCCTTCCTTTTTCGTTGAAGTTCGTTACTCATAGCACAGGTGGTACATTTCTTACACCAGTCATTTACATCATCGAAACTGTTCATCCAGTAAAACCTTTCCCGAACTCTCTGAAGGGTTTTCCTAACACTGAAATATCCTCCTGATGGACTGTCGTGTAACTGACGAAGTATTATACAGGGGTCGGCATAAGTCAGGCAACAAATTTGCATAAAAACAATGCAGCGTCACAAAGAATTTATTCGAAGAAATTACAGAAGGGATACGAAAAAGGGTTAGTTTAAGTGTTCAAATTGATCTCCATCTTGATCAATGAATTGACGGCAACGTTTTGCAACGGAGAGACAGGTCAGGCGAAGCATGTTAAGGTGTCTGCGAAGATTTTCTGGTACGTCTTCCACACTGTTGAACAATTTGGTAGCGGCGAGTTCGGAAATTGTTGTTGAAATTCGGTAAATATCGTTTCGTAATCCGCGTTCGTACGAAAATACGACGTAACACAAAAAACTCTTTCTTGAAGCGTGAACTTTTTATCATGACACAGACACAACTGTCAGAAGCACAAACATGCTTCATTTCAATCTTTTTCGAGAGCGTTATCAGACTTATGCCGATTTTTCGAGCGTTGCCAGACTTATGCCGAGCCCTGTAGTTACTCTACTTCTTGGAATGACCAACTGTCTTCTATTTTCGGAACCATCATCAGTTTCTTTTTCAGTTGTTCAAAATCATCTGTCTCTTCCACGGGTATAGTCTAAAGGACATCTAAAGCGTCTCTTCGAAGGGCGATTGTCAAATTCACTGCCTTTTCCCTCTCAGACCATTCGTTTGCACTCGCAGCTGTCTTTTCAAACTGTTTAAGGTAGTTTGTCCATGACAACTTTGCATCGAAGGTTGGGGCTTTAACACGAGCAGAGTTTACAGCTCCTTCCAATTTTAACTTCGACTCCACCTCATGACACTTTATTTCACCGTTCTTGGCTGGGTCTGAATATTTTAGTTCTTCTATCTTCTTTTCCATCTGTTTTATTTTTCCTCTATAGAAGACATCTTGTTTTCCACTTCAGCAGAGATTTCATTTTTTAGAGAAGACATATCAGAAGAAATTTCATCTTTTAAAGAAGAGATATCAGAAGAAACTTTAGTTTCTAAAGAATAGATTTCATTTTTCACTGAAGACATATCAGAAGACATCTTTCTTCTAAGGAAGAAACTTTATTATCTAAGGAAGAAATGTCCGAAGAAACTATAGTTTCTTAGGAGGAAATATCATTTTTAATAGAGAAAACATCAGAAGAAATATCGGTTTTCATAGAGGACATTTTATTTTCCATATCGGAAGAAATTGAAGAAATTATAGCAGATGCATCATCCGAAAATAGAAACGTTTTCGGATCCAAACCCTTACTTTCTAGTGCTTCCTTAAGACCTTCTGTCAGTTCTGCTTTCTTCCCTGTCGTTTCCAGATCACGATCTTCTAGTTCTCGACGCAGCACAGACACCTTTAAATCACACAGTCTTTTAGCCATTATTGTCCACTATTTATTTACACTATCCCACTTCTGACACCAATATGATGTTTGTTTATTTATTAAACAACAGTTTATTTGTAAATAATTTAATTTATAACACTACTATTCTAATTTATATATATTTCGAAGTCTCTAAATTGTTAACTATTTATCTTCACAGCTGTTTGTACACTAATGACTGCCTGTTTTCCTCTACCAATATTTATATACAAATGTCTAATTTTTGGTGGGTTTCAGAACGCTCCTCCGCTAAACTAGAAACATCTTGTTATATGTGGAATATACTAGAAAGTGCCTTGCCATAGTGTCACATATGTTTGGTCTTAAGGGCTTTAATTATGTACTATAATCGGACAAGTTAGGCCTCAAAGGCCGAATAGGACAGAGAGGGACTTGGAGGATTTGAGAATAACTAAATAATGAAATGGCTCACATTGCAGACGGTTAACATGACTTTTTTATCGTAAGCGCCTATTTCCTACACTATTTCTGAAGTATGCAAGAGATTGGGGATTTAGGGTATCATAAACCAATATTTTTTTAAAAAATGGGTTTTCGTAATTTTTTTTAAAGTTGCTTTTTATGAAAATCATAAACATCTTTTTTATAATAAATTATTTAATAGTTTTCAAGCTATTCGAAAAAATAGATTTTTAATTTTTAACTTCAGAAGGCTATAATTTTTTTGTAAGCAATATCGAAAATAAACAATTTACGTGCGGGGATATTTTTGATTTCATAATATCTGGTATAATTTGTGACCTACCTTTTGGTTAAACACTAATTTATTTGTGAATAAAGTAGACTGATCCACAAAAATAAATTTAAATAAATTTTTGGAAAAATTCATGCATATCACACCATAAAATTCTTCGTATTTTAAGTATCAATTTGGATTTATGAGCGGATATGACGCTCACCTGTCTTTATCAGCCACGGCCTGCTTTAGAAACATTTTTTAAAGAATTTTTTTTATAAGCTTTAAAATATTGCTATATCCAGTGGAACACCATGATACTGTTTTGCACAATTATTCTCTAAGAGCCATTAAGCCACTAAGAAATGGTTGATTCATTAAGACATTAGTCTACATAATTAGAAAATCAACACAAAAGCGGTATTATTTTAATGAATAAATAAAAAATACTCTCAAATTATTTATAGAAATCATTAAACGTTTAATAAATATATTTACAAAATAGAGAACATAGTAGATTTAACATTTTGATAAAAAAAACATTTGCGCTTCATAATTTGACAATAAATTAATAAATTTTAGAGAATGAAACATTTTGGATTCCACTCTTTCGTTAAAAAAATATTTTTTATTTGATCGGATTCAGTCATTTTTTAAATTTTACTAATAATTAACTTGCTTTTTTTGCATTTTAATTTCTTCACTGGATCCGTCCTCTCCTAGAATTTCCACATTTCTAACAGGCGTCCTTTTGACAGGCATCGACTTGCTAACTATTTCTACTTCATCTTCATCTATTGGTAGCGCTGGGTTGATGGCTAATTGAAGCATCCTTAAAAGAAGCATCTCTCTTACGTCAGAAGGTAGGTAATCGTCCGTTTCTTGATGGGCAGGCCCCGATGGCAATAACCTGGCCACTCTTCTATTAGGCCTGTAAGATTGAGAGTCGTAATCTTCATATATACTAGGACGCTGTTGGTTTCTTATCGGTACCAGCTGCTGTTGCTCAACTTGAATGTAATTTTGTCGTTGATCTTGTTTCGGCCCGTAAGCAGGATGATCAGCAGGAATGCGCTCTCTCTGATAAAAGTAAGGAAGAGGTTGCGAATAAGCTTGGCGGTATCTAGATGGTGGTTCCGGTTGCATAAAAGTTTCTGGCGATTGTTTAGTTAGAGCACTAATTTTTTCTAACCTACTTTGTCTTATAATTAACTGTTGTAATAATCTTTGGAAATCTTTGGTACTAACTGGGGGTTGGATACTGTCTATATCGTTTTCTACGTTGACGTATCTGGGTAGCTGATTGGCAGGTACGGGTATTGGATAAGGGGTTGGAACATGCCGTGGTACCTCCCGTATATATCCGTTTTCATCCACTTGCACCGGCATTGGTCTCAAAGGATGTTGAGGTAATCTTCTTACTACAGCTGATTGCTGTTCTATTTCTACCGCCATTGGTTGCTTTTCATAGGAATATTGTCTTGATTCTTCATTTATTTCTCTATATTGTTCAACGGGAACTATTCTTCCTTGCAATTGGCTTAAAGGAACTAGTATTGTATTCCTTTGGTGCGGATGTCTTATTGCAACTAAAGGTTCTTGTATTTCTGGTCTGCTGGATGGTATTTGGGAAACTGATACAGGTGGTGTAGAATTTGGAGGTGGAGTAGTTGTTTCTTGTTGTGCATAATTATTAGAGCTGCTTTCAATGTCTTGCAGACTATTTTTTAAATAGTTAACAGGATAAGGAGGAATGGTTCTTGGTGCAGGTGACGTAGACGATGTAGAGAAAGTAGGTACTGTAGAAAATATAGGTCTTGATCTTGCAGTAGTAGTAAATAAAGGTCTGGGTGTACCAGTTGTCATCGAACTACTATAAACGTCTACTGAATCATGCCCTAAAGATTGTTGTAGGTTAAAAACATGTTCTTTAATATCATATTCAGGTCTGTGAGATAATTCTCTTCGTAGTATATTGCCTCTAATTTCTGGTTCTGCATCTTCGGTGACGGGTTTCACGTTGGCGGTATTTACTGACTTTTTGGGCGATGGTAATTCTGTTAAATCTGGTCTGGATATCTGCCCATTGAATGCTGCAGATGGTTTACCCTGTAACAAAACTTTTGGTGCCGCTGATGAGTAAGTTACGTATTTAGGTTTTAATGTTGTCCTGGATATATTAACTATGTTCTGGTAGTTCGGTTTTTGAGTAGTTGGTTTCCTTTTGCTTAAAAGTGTTGAAGTTATTGGCGTCGATTGAGTAGACGTAAATATGTAAGTAGTTGGAATTGGTTTTTTAGCAGGTATTCGTTGAACCACTGATGGAGGGTCTGGTTTATTTATAATTTCTGTAGAATTATTAGTAGTATACGACACTCTTTTAACTTGGCCATCTTCATCTACAAACCCGTACGTTCCTTTGATATGACCTAGTACATCTCTACTTTCAATTTTAAAAGAACCATCATCGGCTTCGTAACCGATAGTGTAAGAACCGTCTTCGTTAATTTTTTTGATTCGTTTAATTATTTCCAATTTTTTTGTTTCTTCGGCGTCTAGTTCTTCTTGATCTTTCTTTGGTTCAGTGTCAGCCGCCCAGCACAGCCTTGAAGTTTCGCTAAGTAATATTGAGAAAATGATGATTTTGATCTGAAACGAAAGAAAAATTTAAAAGCATTACGTCCATTTATAATACAAGATTTAATTTAAGCTATTTTTTTCCCTCGGGTAACTTTTTTAAATACAAATTATTTTTTTTATTTAAGAAGTGCAAAAATAATAAAAAACAAATATTTTAAATTTTTTTTTTTTTTAATAAATTAGATAAAACAGAAATAAATAACACCTGCGGAACACAGATTTGTTCTTTACCTATATATTCTTTTATTTTAACCAAAATCAAATTTTAAATTAAAAGAGATGACAGTGAAATATTAATGACCAGGGTGACTGATAATACTTCTTATATTTCAAACATATTAGCATCTCCAACAAAGAAACTTCCTGTAAATTTCATAACTTACAAGCTTCTGCTAATATAATGGCTAACACTGTAGTTCATTCAACCACACAAAAAAGAGTTCTAGAAAATACAATACAAACTCTTCTTAGTAATAACATTAATATCACAGCTAAGAAAACTTCAGAGAAGACAACAATACCATCGCCATTTAAAAAAAGCTTTGTTTTGGCCTGAGGAAAACAAATAGGAAAAAGGAAAAAATACCTTCAGTTATAACTTCAGAACCATGACAAAAATACAACAAAGAAAAAGATGCTAGAATAGGAACGAAAGAAAAGGGAAAGGCTCAATATGAAGAAACTAAAATTGGGCGAATCCAGTATAGTATGATAGAGATGTGAAATATGCAGAATCAGATGATCAACCTGGACTAGAAGATAAAGAAAGAGACCAAGAGATAGAAAAAGTGAAGCTTCTAGCACATCAACGAACTAAATAATGGTAAATTTGTATTGGATAATTTTATAGGAGGCAAATGCTCAGAAGTGTATACATATACAGGGTGGCTACTTTTTATATTGAACAGTATTGCTATCTCGAAAACCGTAAGAGTTACAAAGTTGGTTAAATGGGAAAAAAGTTGTACTATTGCAAGACTAATTTAGTGATGTTTTAATACCGAGAACATCAGGACCGGTTTCCAAGATATTTAAGGAAAACCAAATGACTCTATTTTCGAATGTATTGCCTTTATTTTACAAATTAGAAAAAAGACAGATTTTTTATATAACGTTTCATTTCTGGAGGGACACCATCAAGTATATTTTTTTGAATACGCACCTGCAATTTTAATTCTATTTTATAAAAGTACATTTAATCATAAATTCAACCGTGTAATACACATTAGTAGTTTAGGACGTTTTGCTTTTACAAGGTTACTATAAATTTTATTGTTTTAATACAGACCTGTATTTTTTATTATGCTTTTTTACTTAGATTGCTACTAAAACTACACTCCTAAAATTATTTTTAAATTAATCGTAGTTTCGTCACATTTGCTTCCTTTACCAAAAATTTAATAGGAATCGTTTCTGAGCCATACCTGTTGTGTTAAAGAGGAATGGCGGTTAATGAGGAGTATTTTTTTCTATTTAACAATACAGAATTTGTCAAGGTAGTTTCATATTTCTATAGAGGATATAAGTATTATTTTTTTTTTCTAGTTCTTGGGTTTTAGGTGTTTGTTGGGGAAATGAAATTCTTCATTAGTTTTTTTAATTTTTAAAAATATTTGTACATTATTGACAGTTGTTCTAAAGAATTTTTTTTTGGTGTTTTTTTTATATATATAGTTTACATTGTTTTTAGTTGTATTTTTTGGCTTACCTTTAGTACATTTTATGGGGTGTGTAATTAATTTTTAAATGTTTGAGATCCTTTTTTTATTATTCTGTAATTTAATTTTTGTCATTTTCGTGTTCGGTATTTGATGCTGTGGTATCCGTTATTAAATTCGTTAGTCAGGGTGTTGTTACCCCCTTTTTTACGTTTTCGGGCCCTCATAAAGGTCCGGAAATTGAAAAATTTAACTTGGTTTTTTTTTGTGATTTTACTTTGCTATGCAACTATCACGCGCTTCGAGATTTATCAAGTGACAAGGTTGAAAATTTTTTAATTTCACATGTCATTTGTCGTTCCTTCTTCTTTTTGTTTTGGTCTTTTATAGTTTGGTCTATTAGGGTCATGATTGGTACAAGATTTTTATTATAAGGTTTTTTTCCTTTTTCTTTTTTTAATATTCTTATTATATTGTTATTTTCATTATTATTATTATTATTATTATTACTAGTTATTATTATTACTATTATAATTATTATTATTACTGTTATTATTATTTTGTTTATTTTTGTGTTATTAGTTATTTATCAAGTAGTATAATTTTATAATAGGTTAAAATACATTTGATTTAAGTATTGAATGTCACAGCACAAGAACTACAAGAAAAAATATAAATAAAGGTGTAAGAAAAAAAAAACAATATAAGTATTATTAATCAAGAGTGATCTATTTTTTTTTGAGACGAATAAAAAAGTAAAACTTGAAGAAATACCGCAAAATAATTTTATTATCTATAAAAATTTAAATAAATAAAGAAAAAAATCACAGTATAAAATAAAAACAAAAAGGAACGATAAGCAATTTTACAAAAATTGTTCAAAATGTTTTCTATTTTTTTGAATGTATGATTAGGTACATTTTTTTTATATTTGCATCCTGTAGGTCTTTAACCTCAAATGCTTATTAAATATTACACATGTCAGTTTATTTAGGTTTTTGGCAGTGTTTTCTTTAAAGTGCATTGACTTTACAAAATGTATTTAATTAATACATTTTTCGTCATGGTTCGTTACTATGCAGATATTTATATTTTTATTAAACATAACAGAAATGTTGATGTAGGCAGTTCAGGCATACGCCAATTTCTATCCAGATAGGAATCATCCAACAAGAAATACTATTTATGCGGTATGTAAAAATTAAATGAAACTGGTAGTGTCTTTAAATTAAATAAAAAACATAACAGAAGAGGAACTGTAAACAATATAAATGTATGTATTGGCATTAGTAAATGTAAATCCCGAATATTCAACAAAGGACATTGCAACACAATGCGGGATATCGAAAGCGGGCGTTAAAAAAATATTAAATAAATATCACGATTACAAATACCACACAGTACAAAAATTACACAGAGAAGAGATCCTGTCCGTAGGTTAACTTTCTGTAACTGGTGCCGACGAAAGTTGAATAATAATAATAATAGATCATTCTACAAAAATATTCTATGGACAGATGAAACTACATTTACAAATTGTGAAATATTTAATAGAAAAAATAAGGATTACTACTCAAACGCCAACTCTCATTTAAAACAGCAGGTACGGTCTCAGGTACGATTTTCATTAAATTTATGGTGTGGCATAATTGGCGACGTTCTTATTGGACCCAAGTTTATACAAGGAAATTTAAATGCCCAAAATTATATCAATTTATTAGACGAAATGCGATTACTGCTTCGAAGAAAAATGTGGTTTGTGCAAGATGGTTGTGGAACCCATAATGCTAACAGTGTAAAAAATTATTTAAATCAGCGATTTGGAAGGAAATGGATTGGAACAAAATGCCCTATAAGATGGCTACCACGCTCGCCTTGCTTAAATCCAATGGACTATTTTGTTTGGAGATATATAAACAAGTGTACCATAATGAATCTGAAAATATCATTGAATTACGAGAAAAAAGTTAATCAAGCATTCAACGAAATTAATCCACACATGATTGCCAGGGCAGCGAAACACTTATGTAAAAGAACACAACTTTGCGCTAAAAATAATGGTGGCCATTTTGAGCAATTTTTGTAAATTTGTTTGTTTGTGTAAATATTATTGGATCACTCTAAAATATTTGCCAGCCCTCTTTAATACAACAGGTATAGCTCAGGTACGATTGCTATTAAATTTAATTAATTTAAAAATAATTTTAGGAGTGTAGTTTTGGCAGTAATCTACACTGGTTCCCCCTTATTTCTCATGTAAAATCCCATAAGAAACTGCTAAGGTCCATTCTACTAAAAAGTGGAGTGCGCATGCGCCTTTATAAGGTATAAGATAAGAAGGCATTAAGGTTGTTGTAATAATGGATGTTAAGGGTAAGAGATTTTCATCAATTAACAGGTTGGGATATGGGATGTAAAATAAGAAGGGTCAAAGGTTAAAACAATTTTTACATAATTACTAAAAAGTTTAGAGTTTGGAGGGTTGGCAGGGTTGCAACTTAGCTAAGAGGTGTTAAAGTTTAATGGGATGATAAGTATTAAAATGTTGGGAATTTTGAGGCATGAATGTTTACAATTCAGATAGTGTTATTATCGATAATGCAGATTTCATTCTTATCGGTTAATGTGAAGTTAATTACTGTCTGCATTAGCACTTAAAAACTTCAAAAATTTAAATTATATTATAGGCTTGTAATTAGGGAATCAATAGTACTTAGGTCTCATCGGCACCATTGCGCATCCTCCTCATCTCATCAACCAACCTACATATCTTACCCCTAAAGGGGAAATATTGTTAAGTTTCAGTGTTTTGGATGTTGATATAGGAAGGGTCAAAGGTTAAAACTATTTTTGATAATTATTAAAAAAGTCTAGACTTTGGATGGTTAGCAGGGGTGCAACTTAAGTAAGAGTCAATAATAATTTTCCATTGGATTAGTAGATCATTTTGAACATTACCAAAAACGTCCAACTTAAAATATTGAGAATTTATTGCACAGTACAACTTAAGTAGTTTTATTTATTAAAATGTTTAGGACTAACCACCCCTGTTTGTGCTACATGTCTATATATTAACGTTTCAATTGCTTCACCTAACTTTTATTACATGCAATCAGCCAGTCTAGAACAACACCAGTAGATAGAGACATACGCCTCTTAATTTAGAAAAAAAATAATATCCAGCGCCACTTTAAAAACAGTAACAAGTAATTTAACCTAACATTTTAAATATTTAGATTTTTATCTTAGAATTCATTTCTTAGCACCACATTAGATATAATAAAAAACACTTAACCATCGCATTTTAAAAGTTTAAATTTTTACACTCACATTTTTTTGAACCATTTCAAT